TTTCCTCATCAGTAAGTCCATCATCCAGGCACACCCAGAACCATGCTAAATCAATCAGTGGATACTTCTTATTCAAATTGACACCATCGTGTACTATCGCAGTCATCACATGTCAATCTAAATAAAAAATTATGAAGTGAGGACTGCCAGCACCTCATAATAAAGTCAAAATTGCACCCAGAATTTATGTACAAAAAGCACTACTGAGTTCCTTTAAAATAGTTTCTCATAATGCCCATTAACAGTGCTATTTGTATGTAGCATCGAGCTCCTCTCTATCAAATATATGGATGATTTTGTGTAGCACACCTACAGTCATGGAGAGGCAAAGATATGATTTGTTGTAGTCTGTAATGAATGAGTGATAGAGTCAAAACGCTAATTCTAAATGTAATGTACCACATTCGGTTTGGTGGAGAAAGGACAGACATGCAGAAATGAGATTGAATCAAAAGACTATAATGTGATGATAATGAAATAGGAGAAATTTAGCAAGACTTATCTGTGCAGCATTTTTTCCTACTAGGCATGGTAACGTTAGAAGATTTTTAGAGTAAGGGTCTTGTACCCTAATTTCAAGGAACTTCAGACAGGGGGTGACCTTTTTAGGTTTTACAGCTTGCTTTGAAGTAGAGGAAGTCTAGACTTTATATCCTACTTTGGGGAATAAATGAGAGAAGGAGAAGGAAAGATGGGAAAGTCAGAGAGAACTTCTTGTTCTGGCCCCTTTCAATTTACTCTGGTTCAAAGAAAACAGAATGCTAAAACACCGTGCTTTAAGATATCATGTTCTGAGCTACAACCAAGGTTTTGGGAAAGTGCCCTCAGGATAAATATCTGTAGAAAAGTTAAGAAAGGACACGCAAAATAGAAAGGAAAGTGCCTGAATAGTAGTAAAGCTTCAGATGACCCCAAAGGAGCTCAAGCTGGGGTAGACCTTTAGACCTTTTGCACAAGAACTAGGCTTTAAATTACCCCTCCTTGCTCATTGATGAATCATATGACAGGTTTTTAACCTGAGTCAATTTTGGATGCTAAGACAAATCATCACAGACTGAGTGGTTTAAGCAACAATTATTTCTCACAGTTCTGCATGCTGGAAGTTGAACAGAGTTTCAGCAAGGACAGAGCCTGATGAAGGCCCCAGTGTGGGTGGCAGGTGGTGAACTCTTGTTTTGGGTATAAGTTTGTGATACGTATTAACTACACTCATCTTGGGGATTCGGACCATATATGTATCCATTCTTGATGATGTTTATTCTCCACCCCCATCCCTTCACTAGATCCCTTTCCCAATTCCACATGGTCTACCTCCTTGGTTGCTACAATCTCTCTTTTACTTTTAACTTAGTAGTAGCTTTAATCTCTCATATAAGAGAAACCACACAGTATTTATCCTTCTGTGTCTGATTTATTTCCTTGGCACTATAGTCCCAAGTTGGGTCCATTTTCCTAGAAATGACTCAAATTTATCCTTCTTTGTGGCTTATTAGTACTCCATTGTATATGTAATATACTCCACTGTATATATATGATATAATATATTATTAAAATTGCTGCTATGAACATGAGTATGCATGTTTGTTTCAATATGCTGACTTTAACTTTTTGGAAAGTTTCCCAGAGGAGAAATAGTTAGGCCAAATAGAATTTTAGTTTTAGTTTTTTTAGGAACTTGCGTACTGCTTTCTGTAGAGGTTGCACTACTTCCCACTCTCACCAGCAGTGTAGGAAGTTCCTTTTCCCCACGACCTTGTCAGCCATTGTTGTTTACTGAGCCCCTGGCAACCACCTTTGCTGGCGTAGATGGAGTCTCAGTGTTGTTTTGATTTGCATTTTTCCCATAGCCAAAGATGCAACTTTTTTTCATGTACCTGTTGACCATGCTTTTCCTCCTTTAAAAAGCATCCATTCACTTAGAGTGCCTATTTTTGACTATTTTATTTGGTGAGGGAGTCTAAGTTTTTTGGTTCATTATATCTGGTAGATATTGGTCCTCTGTCCAAGGAGCTGTATCTTTGCACGGCATAAATGATGCCAGAGTTGGAGGGATAGAGGGTAAAACAGGTAAAACAAAGCTGTGCTTCTTAATTCCAGACACACATTTGAAGGCATATTTTTATGGGAAATGTTTTCCAGAGGGAAAAGTAACTTTGAGGAAAGGAGTGCTTTGCTTGAAATGTGATGTAAATTCTCTCCTTGTGTAAGATTCAAGGGTTTTTCCTGGTCATTTAGTTAATGGCATACACCACATCTTCCATTAAGTGGCAATGACAATTCTGGTTAATTTTTGTTCAACTGACTGTGTTTAGACAGAAGAAGAGACAGACAGATCTAACTACACATGGCTAAAGGCGTTATGTACTTGGCTTTTCCAAGAAAAGTATGGAGTTGAGAGAGTTCTCAAGTGGGACCCATGAAATTATGGGCTTGTTCTGGCTCAGCCTCTAACTCACTATAATACAGGACTTTTAGTCCTACTCTCTGAGCCTCGGATTCTTTACCTATAAAAGTAGGGAGCTGGACTAAATCATTTTTAATGTGCATTTTAGGTTCTAGGAGTCAAGAGAAGCTGTGTTAATTGCTGAGAAACCAAACTGTCTGGGGATTTTGGATGCTAAGACAAATCCAAAGTACACCTCTGGGCCATGTGACTGTAAGCAAGTAATGAGCCCTCTCTTTCCAGTTTCCTCACTGTAAACCATTGCACTAATAGGACCTACCTTACTGGTATATTATAGTATGGCAATTATAACAGTACATATCATATGTTATGTATTTTTCATGACTTTTATTATTTCATATTTTATGTTATTGTAAGCTATAAAGAACATTACAATGTCTTATTTTTTTCTACTCTTTGTCACATCAGACTGTATCTTCTTTATTTTTTACTAATGCAAAAATCAATTCATTTTAGCCTTATTTCTCTGTGCACTCAGATTGTGAAAAAGAACTTACTATATGTGGATTTTTCCGATAGCCTCTCAGAAGAGTCTGCTTCCTGTCTCCAAAAGTGTATTAACCTGTGGATTTTACAATCTTCTTCTCGTGATATATTCTAGACCCTCCTTTTAGGTCAATAGCTTAGGAAACTGCTTTTCTCAATTTGCCTTTTCTAAGAAAGTGTCCATTTCCGCTTGAACAATTCTAAATCTGTCAATTGTTATTGGCTACTTGGTTATTTGTAAAATATTTATATGTATGCTTTAAAATAGATAATAATGAAAAAATTACCAGAACGTGTTTAATGTTCCTGGATTAAAGCCTTTAACTGTAACAGACCCAGCATATATAGAAATCGTATTACTGGAAGTGTTGCACAATCTCCAGTAGCCAGTCATTACCAGGGCTGCCAGAAAGCAATATGTTCCACTCTAAAATTACATGCTTATTGCTCATGTTGTTCTATTTGTCCAAAAGGTTAAGATTTTGCTGCTCCTAAAATGTTGCGTGTCATTCTTTGAAAATCATCCTTGAAAAATGCTGAATTTAGGGCATTGTTTCCATAAAACTCACCAATAAAAAAAAGAAAGGCAGTCATTTATACATTCTGTTCTTTTAGTAAAAAGGGCTCATTTAGAAACAATAACATCTACTTTCCTGAAACAAGGGAGTTACATCCAACTTGGGGCTCATATATTTGAGAAAAAGCCAAAAATTCAACTTTTGTTCATCGACCCAAGAACCATTTGAAGAACAGTCTAAAAATGAAAAGACAAGAGAAAGGATAAAAAGAGAAATTCTGCTGTTGACTTTAACAGAGAAAAATGAAAATACTAATGTTCTCAAACACTAGTCTTTTGAGAGTTATTTCAAACCTACCCAAATAACAAATGTTCTTCAGGTGACATGTAAGAACCTGTTGAATTCCAAACTTATCCAAACAGCCCTCTAGGCGGAAACAAACAAGTAAACTCGTTTCAACTCGTCCTGCTTGCGAACATTTCTGAAAAACATACCTCCAGAAATAATGACATATTTTAGCAAGTACCATCCTTCCCTTTTCTGAAACTATTAAGTTATTATAAGCTAAGTACATATTCTGTGAATTAATAATATGCTATTTTCAAAGTCAACAGCCTTGTTAATTTGCGTGAGTTTCTGTTTTCCCTTGGAATAAACATCTCCTGGATATTTCCCAGCCTCCCTGCAAACATATCTCCTAATTACCCTTACTATAGAACTGGAGCATGGCAGACTCCACGCAAAGAAAAGAAAGCTGCTATTATTCCAGGGGTGGAATGGTAGGGAACCATTGGAGCTCGCCTTAAGATATTTCTGCTTTTGTGAATGCTAATTTTCAGCTGGGACACAGCTCATTAATTTTCCCTCCCACTAGAAAATTTTGAATTACAACATTTTATGTCAAGATTAAATAAGCCACATCAGTATAATATAGAAACATAGACTATTCATGCTTAAAGGGGCCTCTGATACTCTAATCCATATGTTTAATTTTACAGATAAGAAAAAGGAGTTCTAAATAGACTAATTTTATCTTTTAATAAAGTATAGAATCTTTTGATTTTCTCTCTTGCAGTCTTATGTATCGTGCCATTTTGCCACTCTTATCTATGAATGTGTTATATGGTTTAATTATAAGCAAAATGAAATTTCTTCCCCTTATGCAGATGAAAAACTATCTGTGTATGATATGATTAATACATTAGCTATAGTGATGCTGTTTCTATAACAAGAGAATACCAAGGGGTAGCTATATGATGTATTTCATTTTTGAATATTGTTCTACTAGTTAGTATTATTATTTGGCAATTGTAAATGTCGGTAGGGAATTTATGGAATTTTGGACAACTTTTAGCTTCAGGATTTGGTCATGTTTAAATGACACAGGAACTGTCTTTGGCAAATGAATGGCATGAAGCAGAATCTCCAGTAACCATGAATTCATCAACATGGAGTTGCCGTGAAGATTATAAAACAGAGGTCCAGATGTAGATCAGAAACAGGAAACAGGCACCAAAAGAATAAGGCAGACAAAATGAAAGTGATGTTTATTTTCCCTTTAGTTCTTCCTTGTGAGCAAGATTCTGGTCATTCCACAGATGTCTGTGTCAGTCTCTGCATTTTGTCAAAATTTCATGACAGCTATTTTCAATAAACATCATCAGGCCTTATGCACGCACCATTCTTCAGTCCCAAATCCAGGAAGGCTGCTGCAGAAACACACTGCCCAGCTCTTCGTAAAGCAGCTCCTATTCTGTGTTGGAAGAAAAAGCAGCTATGAGATCTTAACAAAATCATCAGGTACGAAGTGGAAGTAACAGATCTTAGATAGAGGAAAAAAGGAATGTGTCATATACCTCTTCCATGACCATTGCTGTCTGAAATATCTTGTTGCCATTGTGTGCCAGATACTTTAGGACCTGGAATTAGGGAACCATTGCCTTGCTCTTAAGATATGCATGTGAGACCTGCTGTTCTGCATATGCTGTTCTCGAGACTGTACTAATACTTCTCATCTTTCTTGTTCCAAATTATACTACAGATTTTTATATTTATTGTGTACTCGGACAGCACTCTTGTTGTCTAGTTCCAACTTAATTTAACACTGAAACAGAGTGGCCATTAATTTCTTTGGAATTCAGGTCTGATTGCTAAATTCTACTGAGGAGCCCTGGTCTAATGGCCATGCTTCAACAGAAACTCTGCCATCTCCATTGTCTTTCACACTGAGGTTACCATGGAACCAGGGTGTTTGTGGTGGATTAATTAATGCCCAACTCCTAACACTTAGCTGAACTGAATCAGCGCGGTTCCAGCGTGGAGGGCCCACCTGAAGACTGCTGCCAATGGCGTGAACAGAGAATTGGAGAGGAAGAAGTGGTGCGGTTGATTCTCCTGGAGGAGCTTGTCACGCTGGTTTTCCTGATATGAGCTCAACTGTTCTCACCATTGGAGGAGCTCAGGTCCTCACTGTCGCTGAGGAGGGCTGTGGTTCTTTACTGGATAGCCCTGGTTTTTACCTTGAGCATCGCTTCCTGCCTCCAGTGCAGATCCCTCAGCCTGCTGGCACAGATTCTTCATCCCGCTGGCACAGACTTTCTAGCTTCCACCACTGACCTTCGGGTCTTCCCAGTGCAGATCCTTGATACAGACTTACATGACACATATTCGTGGGCTCTAGGCCTCCAGGTGGACTCATGGAGGACATTGCCATGAGCTCTAGGTGTTCACCTGGACATTACTGTGGGATCCAGGTCCTCAGCTGGATTCTTTTGGTCTCTGCCATGTGGACAGATCTCCTACCCGCTTTCGTATTTGACTCTTTAGGTGAATATTATGAAATAACCCATGAATGATGTGTCCTGTATTGGATCCTTTCACTTGTAAACCCTGTCTAGCATCTGGAGAGAGTCCGGAGATAGAGAATGGGTTTGCTTCAACTTTGCTGGCCATTGTCCAAAATTCTACCTTTCATACCTGTCAAGAGGCATCCCACCCCTGTAGATCAGTAGTCCTTATAATGGTGTGTCAGCATCACAGTGTGTGGCCAGGCTGACCCACTAGATCAGATGTGGGAACAAATGTTAGAAACTGCCATTAATGTCTATTTTTTACATCTCACATTTCCTTTTCTACCTTTGTAAACACTGAGCAATGTTCACCACATGTTACTATAGTTCCATCCGTGAATGACATAAATAAGTGGCACATATTAAGGATGAAGGCATAGTTGAGAACTTTGCCTACCAAATGTGACTTTTTCATTGGTTTCAGTCATGTCACTTTAGAAGCCATGAGATATCAATCTGGGGACACACCTTGCTCTTTGTGATAAAATTCCTTCTTCCTAGACCCTTGCAGAGGTGGATTATAGGAAGATCTGATCTGGCTGCAAATGGAGTGCTAATGAAGAAAAACCAAAAGCATAATGAAGAGAGACCATAGCACAGAACTAGAAGTTCACCTGCCGTCCTCATCCATCCCTTACCAAATCACTAAAAGTTACTTCATTGAATACTTACTCTGGGTCAGACAGTCCTGGTCCCAGGAACAGGGTGGTCTATGCAGGTTTTGTTCATACACTTCTACCACTAAAAATATTTTGCCTTCAGAATGTGTTTCCCTTGACACCACACCCTGTGACGTTTTCCTCTCACAGTTATTCAGAAACCTGCTATACCAACACTCGAGCTATCTGCACCATTTGATAAAGAAGCTGTTTCATCAGAAGAATTTGCCTCCTCTCTGGGGATCTAAGGTACCACATGGTGACTATACTTCATAATACTATATTTCCACTTAAAACCTTCTAATCAAGTAGATCCTTGCCACTTATAAAAACAGATCACTTTGCTGAGTGTGGTGGCACATGTTTATATTCCCAGCAGTGTAGGACACTGAGACAGAAGAACTTCAAATTTGAGGCCATCCTAGGAAACATAGTGAAGTCTTGTCTCAAAATACAAATTGTTTTATATTATAGCTCAGTGGTAGAGTACATAATATTCATGTAAATTTTTAAATATCTAAATGTAGTCAAGAATAACAATACAATTCTGAGTCCTGAATTTAAATGAAATCTAAAATGAGATCGCTTGCCCAGTAGAGCTAAAGGTTGGAGAGTTTGAAGGTGTCTTAGAATGTTCTATATCCCATGCAGACTATATTCATGGAACTCGTATATTTAAGTGAATGATTTTAACAATTTAATACAAAGGCACTTAATATGAAATAATTTGGAACTTGCCTGTGGCTTATATTTGAAACACAAGTCTGTAGAGCAACCTGAGTGAGACCTGTATAGCCAGACAAGTCTTTTTAAATTAATGTGGCATTTTTCTTTCTTTTTACTATTTAATGAGTGCAATTCGTATTTTAATTGTGAAATGAAATAAAACTTTAGTGATAGATATTATAGAAGAACCTTGAAAAACCCAGATGACTATGGAGATAGTCTTGATATTAAGACTTGAAACATTTGTAGGTCTCTGGAAAATGCCTCACTTTTACAACTAAAAGTGATAATTCTACAAATGCACTGCCTACTATGTGCTAGGCTCTGTATTAGGAGTTTTTATTTATTTTCTCATTACGTACTATCTCTAATCCAGTTTGATTGGAAACTAAAATTTTGAAGAAAAAGACTTTCTTGGTGTCACAAAGCTTTGAAGTAGGCCAGCTTCTGACAGCTGATCTACCAGTTCAAATTCTCTGCTCCTCTGCTCCTTCAAAAGAAAATTTTTTTTCTGGTAATTTTTTCTGAGACAAGGTCTGGCTATGTTCAGGCTATCCTTGAACTCTCGGCGATCTTTCTGCCTCAGCCTCCCAAAATGTAGGGATTACAGGTGTGTGCCACAAGGCTGTTTATGGTAAATTTTAATCACTGAAAACCCAAGGATTGCCACAGTAATAAATCTATGTTGTCGCATATATCCTTCATAAACTGAGGCATGTTCAGAAATTAAGTGGAGAGGTGGATACAGGCATGTGAAGACATGTGATGCTGCAATGACTTTCTCCTCCCACATGTAACATGATGTAGCTTCTCCACATAGACACGAAACACGAAGCTTTCCCCAAGTGTTTGATGGTAATGTTACCGAGGCAATGGTAAGAACTGGGTGATAGGTGCAAAACACTGAGGGGAAAGAGCGTGCATCTCAGGCAGGCGTGCCGCACACATCCATAATCCCAACACTGGGGAGGCTGAAGCAGGAGGATCATTGTGAGTTTGAGGCCAGCCCAGATACAAAGTGAGCTCAAGGCAGCCTGAACTGCATAGCAAGACACTATCTCAAAAAGACAAAAAATAAAGAAAACATGCATCTCCTCTAAAGGGTGATCTTTGGAGAATAGAGGAGGGATGTGAATCTCTGCCTTCCCTACAGTACGTAAAGAAGCCTGAGCTTTAGTGCAAGAGAAAAGAGAGAACATAAGGAATTATGACTGTTGGAGAAATATTTATTCTAAGATTCTGATAGAGGAATGCAGACCCTGGAGAAAAGAAAAGTGTATGGGAGGGTGAGGAACCAATGCTAGAAAGGCCAGTGGGGTTTGAAGTGAACAAACGCCAAGAAGCAGAGAGAAAAGACTCTACCCAGCCAACCCTCTAAAGAGAAGACCACCCCACTGTTGATTCTGTTGAATAAATACTCTCATTTGAGAATAATCTCATGATAGGTGGGTGTAAGGTGACAGTCTCACCTCTGCCTGCTAGAACACGGCACAGGATCTCCACCCATCTAGGTAGACACCCTTCCAGATTTGACATTTTTAGAGCATGACAACAATGAGTGCAATCTATTAGAGATTACTCACAACAGTTGCAAGGTAATTAATTTTCCAGGGACAGCAGATCAGTGGCATCTTTGTGGCCAGGGTTTGTTTGTGTCTGCTTCCTCCGGGTTCTGCCAAGCTTGGCCGTATACTGTTCCCACTGATACTCTTCCAACGAATTCCCCAGCCAGAATTGATTTCTTCTTCTCACAACAAAAAATGATGATTACTGCACACTGGAATGGATGCTCATACCAAAAATGATGTCTGTGAGATGTGAAATTAAAGTTTCTATTGAGAAACATGTGTGCTAACTTGATAAAGAATGAATCACATCGTCCAAAGCATTGTTTGAACAAAAGTCATCCAGTGCCTATAAAACGAAGGGAAAGGAGCAGATCCAAACTGTGACAAGAAGGAAATAAGGACTCTGAGATGTGAACAATAAACCACTTCCAGTGACATTGCTACACAAAACAAGGGAACCTTGTTTGTACTCTGTGCGCTACATCTACCCACTTTGATTCAACACCAATAGCTCTCTCAACTCTTGCTTTTCGTCTCTGTACGTGTGCATAGTCTCAAGATCTGTGGTGTGATTGAAATCTACACAGACATAGAAAGAGATGGAAATAGAAGCAGTTTTCTAACATCATTCATGACATGTTCCAGTGAAGACTGTCTTGGGAAATTACCAGTCACATTGACTCTATAGAAATCCATAGCTCACATCCCCAAAACAAGAACACACAACTGAGTTCTATAATTAATCCACATTGTGGCAGTTTGTGAATTATAAATTACAAACTCTCTATTGAGTATAGCTTTCCTGCTGTTGCCAGAGTGTTAATCTTCATGGCTCAGTCTTTATAACAACCTTTCCATTTGCTAAGCACCCGTTTCCCTCACTTTGCTTGACTGTGTAAGCCAATATTTCTTTTGATCCTCAGAATAACTCTGAGGTAAAATGATCCTCAC